TTAAAGTTCGTGAGTACAGAGTAGTTGTAGACGAGATGAGATGACATCCCAAGATAGCATCAATGCCTGAGCCTGAGCCTGAGCAGTGTTCATAAACCTGTGAGGTACCAGCTTCAGCCTCAGTACTAACTCAGGCGCTTGTTCTCTCTTCCCTCCTTCATTATCAGCCACCGTAGACTCATTTAACGTACCTGAACTTTCTCGCAGGACCCTTCAGCCATGAGGTGAGCCACTGACATGCATCTTACATATGTATGTTCAACCAACGATTGAAAAAAAAGATATCCTTAAGTCAATTGAAGGGGTCTTGCGGGTCATAGCTGTGAGAATGGCGTGTTCTCAACGCAGTCATGTTTCATCATCAACGCCCTCAAAATCCTGGCCGTTGAGGCCTGTCCTGTCTGTTGAGCTTGGAACTGTTGGTCCCTTTTGTATCAGAATCACATGAAACATGTAAATGAGCCGGTGCAGTGAATAGAGATGCATGTGTGTTGTGATGTTCGGATGATTACATTGAAATTTGTCTCAAGAGTATTGAGGGTTCGTTACATGTTTATACCGTTGTCGATGACTTGTGATTCTTCCTAGTCGCTGTGAGTAATTATCGTTCTTCATTATTGAAGGTTCGGTGCGCCCGTAGTTGTGAGACTTGGGCTTGGAATGGAATCATGATGATGTGGTCATCTGTCATTGCGAGTAAATCATGTATCACGACTCTCCGAGTTGAACCGACAATATGAGTCTATGGTGCAACAGATTGTTCACGATGGCCTCGACCAGAAGATGTGTGAGTGATTCCAGGCCATCACGGTCAATGAGTCTAATTCCATGGATGTCTGCGTGACCTCTTGGTTGGAATCATGAACACAGAACGTCTACCTAACCAAGCTGAAAGCAGCACATGGCCATGGGGAAGTTCAGGTTCAAGTTGGGGAGCGATAGCGGAGTATCTATCGTTCACTGTAGCAGAGTTGCCCCAGCCCCCGCAGGCCGCAATCGACTGATGTGCCCTGTGACCTCTATCGCCGAGCCTGGAAGCTTGGTTTTGGAGGGTCGTGATCAGCACACAAGCAGGCCACTCGTCAGCAACTCCGCCGCAGACTTACTTACTCATTGCGATCTGGTTTCGGTGATCACGATGGACCTCGAGTCTGAATCAACTCTCCTCTGGTATTCATAACCTATCAAATAACCATAATTCCTATTTTAACCTCTATTCTTCTATATACACACGCATAAATTGCTCTGTAGTACATGCATAAGGTACCTACCCTACCTACACACAGGTAGGTACCTTACCTTATCTATCTGCCTGTTTGCTACCTACAGTACAACCCCTCCACACCAAACGCTTCAAACAAACTGACAAACGTAACTCGACCAATCGTTTTAACAACGTCTTCCCTAATTCTGACGTATTCACCGACTCTCTTCATATACTTTCTTTTGAGGCTCTCTTCGCTCTTTGCAGCCTTTTGTTAGTTGTACCTTACAAGAACAACCAAGACCAAGCGATATATACAAGGAAAGCAAGCATCCATCATGGCGTCTCCACCACTCAACACCGCTGTTCCCCGCAGCGACTCGCCAACAAGATCCCCGCGATCAGCTTCGATATCGTTGCAAGCAGCTGCGACCATGAATGCCGGACTTCAACACGAACCTCCACGAAGTACGTCCTCTACTATTTTGTACCTATCTAACAACCAACTCGGCCACTAACACTCCACAGGATCGTCAAGCAGCTCCATCTCCCGAAATCAACACTCCCCAAATACCGGTCGACGACGTTCCACCGTGCTCATGAACCTCCAACTCAACGACCCTTCTGTACCCTCGCCAGGCGAGATGGTCAACGAAACGTCTGGTCTACGGACTGCGAGCCCGCAACCTCTCTCTGGATCTCCCTTCACGGGTGATCCCCATCATCACAGAGCACCCAGCCTGGGTGAGCTGCATCAAGAGCTTGAGGCAGAGCAAGAAGCTCATGTGGTACGAGATATGATGCCATGTCATACGCAACAACAATGGCTAAGCTAACTTCTCATTGATAGAATCGCCTCTTGCAGATGATCCGGCAGCAGCAGCTCGAACTCCAGCGCCTTCAAGCTGCCAACCCCCATAACCAGAACCAGAGCTCAGCTGTAGAAGACAGCTCTGCCATTTCCGAACGATCAGGTCACGGAACCCCACACGCCTCCAGCCCTCATGTCGCAATCCCTCCTATTCCAACTGGCGGATCTGGCTCTCGCTCTAATAGTTACCGTCACCCTCGAAGCTCGTTCGATCTCGCCCGTGCCGACCTCCAACGACGATCTCGAACACCCAGTCGTAGTGGTGCCTCCCCACGACTTCGCGCTACTTCCATAGGTGGAAACAGCGAGGATTGGGTTCTGGGTGGTCGCGATGAAAGCGCATTTTATCAGGCTGAGACACAGATGCTGGTTCGTGAGAACCAGATGCTTCGTCACCGAGTACGAGAGCTTGGTAAGTACAAAGCAGTTCATGCAACCGGGACATTTGCTAACGGATATCCAGAGAAACAACTAACAGACCTCGGGACTGGGTCGCCGGCTCCGCATGAGCCACCTCACCCCTCAAACCTGACAAGATCTTCTATGACAGTAGATAAGGAAGAGGGCAAGCCCACAACTGAAGAAGCCAAGCCTTGAAGACGCTGTTTCGTATTTTATCTGATGCTTAGAACACGAAGCACATTTGAATCTTATGGCGTTAAGCGATCGGGGCGGAAGTGATGGGAGCCGGTTTTCCAGTGGTAAATAAAACCAACTCGAGACAAATATGGCGTTATGGATTCACTCCATGTATATTATTATGAGTTTGACCACTCGAATGGAAGAATATGGATTTGATATGATGACAATTGAGGTTCCCAAAAGCTTTACAAGCTTATCCTCTATATTAATTTATCCTCAATCTGTTAAAGTGTGTTTGTATCGTAAGATCGAGGTCTTCAAGTTTTACGACTGGTTCAAATTACCTAGCTTCTGATAGGAGGCTGTAGGGTATGAAGCTCATGAGCAACAGTTCTCTCCACACTTGCAGTCTTACTCAAAGATATGTAAAACGTTTTAGAGTGAAAAACTATATTTCATTGGAGATTTGTATCTGTTTTGATCGGCACATGGTGTTACTCCCCGTCTGCGTTGCGCCGTTGGTCAGTTCGGTGTATGCATCAACTTGGCCGAATTCTAGGTATAACATCCTCCCACTCTTGCAAACAACTCAGCTTGAACAACAATCATAATGCTTCAACCACTGGCACGTAAATTTCCCACAAATCTACGAACTATTCAAAGAAATAGCTTCAGTTTGACATCAGCTGCTAGAGCCGACTTCACCCATGCTGTAAGTCCACTACATCGTCATCATAAGACCTGTATCATGACCCGGCTCCGGCGCCGGAGCTTCAGTCTCCGATCGATCCCGTCCGTAGCCAGATCACGAGGTAGTGAGCGGCGGACAAACGCCATTGACTTGCCACGATGTATTTCAAATCAACTCGAGCCTATGACTCTAACATTGTAGTAGGTAATTGGTGGCGGTGTCGTTGGGCTGGCCGTGGCCCGTCAACTTGCACAAAGAGACGATACCTCAACTGTTCTCATTGAGCGTCATAATGCGATTGGCACAGAGACAAGCTCGCGTAACAGTGAAGTTGTTCACGCAGGTATTTACTACGGGCCATCAAGCTTGAAAGCAAAGCTCTGCATCCGTGGTAAGAATCTGCTATACGAGCTTTGCGAGAAGCACGATATAGGCCATCGCCGCACGGGCAAATGGATCGTCGCTCAGAACGACGCACAGCGTGAAACTCTTGAAAAGATTCACTCCTTGTGCGAAAACGACCTCGGTGTTCCAACGCGATGGGTGAGCGGTGAAGAGATCAAGAGAGACGGTGAAGGCGTCAATGCTGCTTGTGCGCTTGAGAGTCCGACAACCGGTATCGTCGACTCGCACGGCCTGATGTTGTGTCTCCAAGGTCTATTTGAGGATGCTGGCGGTGTTTCGGCGCTCAACTCACCCGTCGTGAACATCAAACCTCTCGGATCTAGACCCGGTAGTCAAGGTTGGGAGATTGATGTCAAGGATGCTGCCACGGGTGAGACTTCGAGTATCACGGCCGAGACGCTCATCAACGCTGCTGGTCTCGGAGCTGCGGTTATTCACAATATGATTGTCCCATCTGAGAAGCGTCAAGAGTTGTACTATGCCAAGGGCAACTATTTCTCGTATTCTGCCTCTCAGCCCAAGATCTCGCGTCTCATATATCCCGTTCCTGAGCCTGGCATTGCAGGTCTAGGTACCCATTTGACGCTTGATCTTGCGGGCCGTCTACGCTTTGGTCCTGATGTGGAATGGATTGATGATCCCAACGATTTGGCTGTCAACGCAGCACGATTGCCGCAGGCTGTTACTGAGATCCAGCGTTATCTTCCGGGTATTGATGCATCAGCTCTGGTGGCAGACTATGCTGGTATTCGACCCAAGTTAGCTGGCCAAGACGCTGTCCTCAAAGGTAAAGGGTTCCACGACTTTATCATCAGGAAAGAGGAGGGATACGAGGGCTGGGTAAATCTATTGGGTATTGAAAGTCCTGGACTGACGAGCTCACTGGCAATCGCTGAGATGGTACAAGAATTGCTCCACGGGTCCAGCAAGTCACTTTAAAGCAGAGTATTTGTAAAGTCGTAGCTAGAATTCGTTGGATTATATTCAAGCTATCCTCGATCACAGCTAAGCTATATGTGCGCATGTAAGAAGCGAAAGGTAAGGTAATGTGACCGAGATAAAACATCGCAAACGCCATGTCGAGAAGAGGTAGGAACACACTCAAGGTATCCTGTGCCCATGCTAATACTGAACCGTCGTCACTGGTCATCACTTTTGGTAAACCAAGATATCACCCTAAAGGCTGCTGCTATTAAAAACCACCTGCGCCAGCACAAAGGTTCGCGTCCACTCATTATTCTGGCCTTTTACCTCATCGAAACGCTCGGGAAGAACTTCCTACTCTGAGTGTCCACGTGGAGCTCGTAAATACCGTTCTGTGCACCAACAAAGCTACGTCATGTTAGCAAAACGCGTATACAGAATGACCAAAAGCAGACTTACAGTGTACGACCATCTTCGCTCCACGCCAACCCGGCAGTATTGTCCGGCGAAGGCGGGACTTCGAAGACACCGTGGTCATCCTCCCATCGATTCACCACCTGGTTGATAAGTGGCACTATGATGGTTGTATCGTCGGGGTCGGGGTCGTTGTTTCGCTCTCGTGCCTGGAGAATCTCAAGCACGGTGAGGTAGGATGAATCTTGGCGCTGACGCTGTTCCCGAAGCATGGCCACTGTTTCACCGAGACTCTCCATCAACCGATCTGGCCTTCTTCCAATTTCCGGGGTGTCGGAGGCTTCACGTGGAGTTCTTGTCACTGGACGTCTGTTGTAATTACTGCCCAGCAGCTCTCCCATGGCACGACCGATACTACTGCTCCTCCGACCCATGGGCCGCTCGTTGTCATCGTTGCCAATAGTTCGACGGGCTGACCTGGCCGCCCAGAAGTTAGTCGGACCACCTGTAGCCCTCTCATCCGCCGCCGCTGCCGCCGCCACTCTTTGAGCAGCTCGTTCACGACTACGCCTACCAAGCTGCATAGCCTCAAGTACAAGTGTCTCGTTGGAGGTCAGAGGAGTATTTAGAGTGTCGATCACATCTCGACGTCTCCCAGTCTCTGCAGCGCCTGATCCGAGTGCGGCATCTCTTCTCTCGCGGCGGCTATCCAGAAGTCGCGGATCAATGGTGTTTCGATCCGGGATGTTGATGTGCTCGAAGACCGGTTCTTCGATGTTTACAATTTGACGAACATAAAAATTGCTCCTCATATCAGCAATACCAACATTGCCTCTGTCCTCTGTCCACGCAAGCATTCCGAATGGTCCGGGGCAGAAGGCCATATCTCGAATAGCACCAGGGCCACTGTGTGGCCGTGAAGACGGAAAAGTTGTAATAAGGGGGTCGGCATTAGGATTTGCGAGAAGTGCGGCATTGAAGATGGAGATGGTGCCATGTTGGGTCCCAACAGCGAGATATGCTCCGGATTCAGAGAAACAGGCGGCAAAGCTTCCTCGACTATCCGTTCTGTCGTCTTTCTTTTGGCTCTTGAGAAGAATTCTCTGTGTCTGTTCCCATTGGTATGCAGGACCTTCACTTGACCTCGTCGCTGGAGATTCTGCAATGCTCCTAACTCTCTCATGGACATATAGATATGGGTCGTCGAGAATGGCGATCAGAAGCCGGCCGTCTGGAGAGATGAGTGCGCGGTTCACGAAGTCTGGGTAGGTGATGATATCCAATGCCTCTGTCTTCTCCTTCTGATCAAAGTCGTTAAGGCTCACCAGTGTAACAGTACGGTCGTTGTTGGCCAATACCGCCACAGGCTCTTTATACGCCCTATCGTGCGCTGGCATCCTTGTTGGCGGGAACCAAAGTGTAATGCAGTTTACCCGGTCCTTGGCTAACTTCATACTTTTCGCGATCAGGGTTTTGTTGTTCCGTCTCGCACGGTTCAGAAGAGAGAGTATAGGGTCATCACGGGACGAGTCGAGTCCTAGGCTAAGTCGAGTGTCTGGATCGAGTTCTGATAGGATTCCATGGCCATCATCGTCTCCTTCATCGAGTCGAATTGCCACGAAGTCGCCACTCTCACTCCCACAGCATAGCCATCCTTTCTCGGCGACGAGGCACCGAGGCGCAAAGGTGAGGAGTTTGATGGTTTCGCATTCTCGGGTTGTCGTGTTCAGTCGTTGGACATGGTTACTGCCATTGCCACCTGGAAAATAGACAATGTCCTGCTTCTCGGCGCTAACGAGAGACCGTAGCTGCCAATGTCTGGAGATATCATGAGCATGATGGCGCCACAACAAGATGAATTATGACATACTGCGAGCGCACGGGGATACGATAATGTTTCCGCGCATGCTTCAAAACGAGGGCATCGGTTGGGTACATGCTGGACGATGTTAGTATTGATACAATCAATGGTCATGATTGATAAGCTCGTTGGCTCTGAGGGCTGCCATACTCGCTCTCATCTATCGCCATCTCGGACCACGCCGCCCCTCTAAGGGAGCGACAATGCGGAGAATTTCGAGCTACCCGGTGGTTGAATATCGATACGATGAGGATTTGTCCTGCGTATGAGAGTTGTCGAGCTCTCGAATTCGTCGGCGGCTAGTAGGCGCAACGCGAGCGGCACAGCCGTGGCGAACAATGAACCAGGCAGATCGCGGATGATGAGGAGTGTGGGGTTATCGATTTGTTTATTTGTTTTCTGATGTGAAATGACGGTTACGGGAGCGTAATAGAAGAAATGTCGTTGGCCGAGTCGGGCGATTACTGATGTGGGTTATGAAGGTGGCATGCGCGAATGACGTCTGGCTTGATCTGATTTAATGGGCGAGGGTCTACGGGATAATTTCAGGACCGACCCCAACTCAATGATCAGCCAAGATCAGGTAAAGCTCAATTCAGTGTTAACTAAATCACTTTTTTTTCTCTCTCGATCTGAAGGTATTTGATAATCCTTGATACACCAGACTATCGTTATTTACTACCGGTTAGTAGTGGGAATTGTGCAACTACAAAAAACATCTCAATCCAGGGATCTGCTTAGATTGATTGATTTGAAGCCATCAACTTGCTACTCGGCGAGATAGATCTAGGCGACTCGGTAAAAATAACACATTCGCTTTTTTCCCCTCCAGGCAGAATAGACTCTATTTACCTCTAATCTAATATTAACTATCAATAGAAAAGCCATTTAACATATGCTTTTATCATGAGTCAACCATTCGGTATGCTAATTAGTATGCGGTCATCGGCAATATAGATAATACCTACGTAGGTAGTTAACGAACACGGACAACAACTGGGAAGAATCTACTGTCTACGAGTATACTGTGCCCCTGTTTGAAAGAATGGAACTGTCAACTGGTGAAATGTAAAGCCATCGAACACTGACTTCTATAAGCTGTCTTCATGCCGTCATCAGCCTTGCAGCTAGAATACTTACAGAAAGCATTCCATCATGACACCAGTATCAAGCTACCTTACCTTAGACTAGCTGGCTCACGTATGACAGACAGCTTCGTGCAAGACCCCGAGTTATGAACTTCTTGACATGCCCGAGCCAAATCCGTTACTTTTCCGGTAACACCGAAGCATTCATCACGTGTGGTGAAGCTTTTCTCAGCCATCTTCTGGGGGAAGAGGAGCACTTCTCATTAGCTTGCAGCGCGGGTCTTCTCATTGCGTCCGATCCCCATTGGCTCCGCATATTCGGGATCCAAGGTCGAGAAGAGAGAACATTGTGTATCATGAATTGAGAAGCACAGGAGGTCGAGCAGGCATAAAGCATAAAGCTGAAGTTAAGCGCAGATAGTCGTTAGATGTTCTAGATCGTCTGTCGTTAATTGACTTTCATTATATGCTTTATCGGGAGCCGTTCCGTTGATTCTACCAGATCTTTCACGTAGGTTCGGAGTGGGCCTCCGCAGGAATAACCATGGTCCGAACCTAGCCGGTTCAGTGGAGACAACCCGGTGCTTGCCTCTTTCCTTTGGCTTCTATGACCGACCGGGGAAAGAGCTTTTTTTGAGTAAAAAAATTCGTTCCTCTCGATTCCATCATCTCCGTTCATACTCAATCCTCTAAAACACCACCTCCTCCCATCTACTCTCCGACTTGCGCCTTCATCCTTTTTCTTTTCCTGTACTCTATACCCATATACCCATAATCAAAATGCTGGCTTCGCGCTTGTCGAGGGCTGTAAGTCTTTCTCTCTCTTACACCGCAATCGCTTCATCCCACATTGCATTGTACTGACCATCGCATCAGCTTCCCCGAGCTTCCCCTCTCACCGCTCGCTCGGCTGCTTTCACCCGATCTCCTCTGGCTGCCAAGTTCGCTCGCTATGAGTCCACTGAGTCCGATGGCAAGGTTCAGGGTGCCGTGATCGGTATCGATCTTGGTACCACCAACTCTGCCGTCGCCATCATGGAGGGCAAGGTCCCCCGCATTATTGAAAACTCGGAAGGTTGGTTTGACATGCCAATTCGTCTCGCGGACAACCACTAAACATTGCTTAATTAGGTGCCCGAACCACTCCTTCAGTTGTTGCTTTCGCCGAGGATGGTGAGCGACTTGTCGGTGTCGCTGCCAAGCGTCAGGCCGTCGTCAACCCAGAGAACACCCTCTTCGCTACCAAGCGATTAATAGGACGCAAGTTCAAGGATGCTGAGGTTCAGCGTGATATCAAGGAGGTCCCCTACAAGATCGTCCAGCACACCAATGGCGACGCCTGGGTCGCTGCTCGTGGCCAGAACTACTCTCCCTCTCAGATTGGTGGTTTCGTCCTCAACAAGATGAAGGAGACCGCCGAGGCCTACCTCTCCAAGCCCATCAAGAACGCCGTCGTCACCGTTCCCGCTTACTTCAACGACTCTCAGCGACAGAGCACCAAGGATGCCGGTCAAATTGCCGGTCTTAACGTTCTCCGTGTCGTCAACGAGCCTACTGCCGCCGCCCTTGCCTACGGTCTCGAGAAGGAGGCTGACCGTGTTGTCGCTGTCTACGATCTTGGTGGTGGTACCTTCGATATCTCTATCCTCGAGATCCAGAACGGTGTCTTCGAGGTCAAGTCCACCAACGGTGACACCCACCTTGGCGGTGAGGATTTCGATATCCACCTCGTCCGCCACCTTGTTCAGGACTTCAAGAAGACCTCTGGCATTGACCTGTCTGGTGACCGCATGGCTATCCAGCGTATCCGTGAGGCCGCTGAGAAGGCCAAGATTGAGCTTTCTTCTTCCCTCTCTACCGATATCAACCTTCCTTTTATCACTGCTGACTCCTCTGGTCCCAAGCACATCAACATGAAGCTCAGCCGAGCTCAGCTTGAGAAGATGGTTGACCCTCTCATCACCCGCACTATCGACCCCGTCCGCAAGGCCCTCAAGGATGCTGGCCTTTCCGCTAAGGAGATCCAGGAGGTCATTCTCGTTGGTGGTATGACCCGTATGCCCAAGGTTGCTGAGTCCGTCAAGAGCATTTTCGGTCGCGACCCCGCCAAGTCCGTCAACCCCGATGAGGCTGTTGCCATTGGTGCTGCCATTCAGGGTGCCGTCCTCTCTGGTGAGGTCAAGGATCTCCTCCTCCTCGATGTTACCCCTCTGTCCCTCGGTATCGAGACCCTTGGTGGTGTCTTCACCCGTCTGATCAACCGAAACACCACTATTCCCACCAAGAAGTCCCAGGTCTTCTCCACCGCAGCCGATTTCCAGACTGCCGTCGAGATCAAGGTCTACCAGGGTGAGCGTGAGCTCGTCAAGGACAACAAGCTTCTCGGAAACTTCCAGCTTGTTGGCATCCCCCCTGCCCACCGTGGTGTCCCTCAGGTCGAGGTTACCTTCGACATTGATGCTGACTCCATCGTCCACGTTCACGCCAAGGACAAGTCCACCAACAAGGACCAGTCTATCACCATTGCTTCCGGTTCCGGTCTTTCTGAGAGCGAGATTGAGCAGATGGTTGAGGACTCCGAGAAGTACGCTGAGGCCGACAAGGAGCGCAAGGGTGCTATCGAGGCTGCCAACCGTGCTGATAGCGTCCTGAACGATACCGAGCGTGCTCTTAACGAGTATGCTGACAAGCTCGATAAAACCGAGGCCGACTCCATCAAGGAGAAGATCACCACTCTCCGTGAGTTTGTCGCCAAGAACCTCTCCGGTGAGGGCACCGCCACCGCCGCTGAGATCAAGGAGAAGACCGATGAGCTCCAGGTTGCCAGCTTGAACCTCTTTGATAAGATGCACAAGGCCCGCAACGAGAGCAGCGGCGAGCAGTCTTCCTCTTCTGAGCAGTCTCAGGAGGGTGAGAAGAAGGATGAGAACAAGCCTTAAGAGTCTTGATTCTGTGTTATAAAAACTTGTTACAATATCTGAGGATGAGAGATCTGTGCGGCTCAGATCTCTCACCTGTCCTGTATTTCACTGTATTCATATCCCGCCTAGCCGCTTTTACAATTTTTGCCCATATCATGTTTCAGGGTTGGCGGATCTGGCGTTGGAGCTTTAAAACCTCTGTTGAGAGAGATCTTTGGTTGTTTTTTTGAGATGATGTCACGGAATGGGGGATCATGTTGTATATCTGTATCATGACTTGCCTATAGGTAGACTAATCGCACATCCCCCCTCAAAACATGTTTGCCTTGATGGTAGTCAATATGACCTGATGTTTTACGCACGCATTTCCCTCTGCTTATGATTATGATGGTGTTGAATATGTTGACGTGCAATGAAATAGTAGTGATCGTGGTATATATCATGACATCCATGCCCAAGCAGTATTAAGTCTGTTGACACCGTGCCAGTGAATCGTCTTTGCTTTCTTCTGTCCCTCTTTACCCCCCACACTCTCTAGTGGGCTCCCTCCGTTTAACTCCATCATCGAGCGCGCAGGCTTTAACCTTGATGTTTGTGGTGCTGGCAACTGGAAAGTATCGTATAAAGACCCACGCTCATTGGGATTCTGAAGCGGTACTCGTTCACCTCGGAAAGCAGGATCCGCAAACAGAAGTTGTCGAGATTCGATCTCGACCTCGGAGACTGGTCTCACTTTTTGTTCGTTTCTTTTCTTTTTGCTTCTTCTGCTGCTTCCACCTGATGACGATGGTGTTGGCGAGGGCGGGGGATATGTGGTGTCGAGAAACCAGCCGCGGCGTTGGGAAAGGCGATGCTCAAGGAGTTGACGGAGGATTGATACGAAGAGAGATACAACGGCGAGAACGATTATTATGGCGATGATTGTCGCTGGATAAGGATGTATCGAGGTGTGCTTGGGATGCCAGCTTCGCGATGGCACTTCCAACGCTGGAGCTTGGTCCATTATGCGCATCTTTTAATAAGTAGTCGATGACAGTGAGTAAAGAAAAAAGAAAAAGAAAAAAAAAA